GAATTTTACATCCCTGGGTCTTATCTCATTTTGCACGACTGAAACTCTGTACCCTTTGACCAACTCCCCATTTGTCCCTCCTCGCCAGCCCCTGGCAACGACCATCCTACTGTCTCCTTTTAGGAGTCTGTTTATTTATTAAAGTTTTTTTTTTTTTTTTTTGAGAGAGAGAGAGAGCACAAGAAGGGGAGGGGGAGAGGGAGAGGGTGAGAGAGAGAATCCCAAACAGGCTGCACACAGGCAGCGCAGAGCCCAACGTGGGGGTGATTCAGAGGCTCAGTCTTCCGCTCAGGTCACGATCTCACCATTCCTGACTTTGAGCCCTGCATCCGGCTCTGTGCCGACAGCTGGGAGCCTGGAGCCTGCTTCGGATGCTGTGTCTCCCTCTCTCTCTGCCCCTCCCCTGCTCACACTCTCTCTCTTTCAAAAAAAAAAAAAAAAAAGTAGTACATATGTTCCTTGGAAAATTCTGGAAAAAGAAGATTCGTGTAGAAATAAAGGTCATTGAGTATTCCACCACTCAGAAAAAATCACTATTAATGATATCCAATGTATTTCTGTTTCCAGCTTTATTGAGGTATACTTAATAGGCAAAAAATCATACATATTTAATGTATATATTTTGATGAATTTATGGACGTATGCATATACTCATGATACCATCCCTGCAGTCAAGGTAATAAATGAACCCATCATCTCCGCGAGATTGCTTGTGTTCTCTTGCTTTTTTTTTTTTTTCCTTGTCTTCTTTTTTGGTAAGAACGCTTAAGAAGAGATCTTATAAATTTAAGGGTAAAAAAAATTTTTTTAAGTGTATTTATTTTTGAGAGAGACAGAGACAGCGTGACTGGGGGAGGGACAGAGAAAGAGACGAGACAGAGAATCCCAAGCAGGCTCTGAGCTGTCAGCACAGAACCCAACCCTGGGCTCAAACCCATGAAACCCCAAGATCATGACCTGAGCCGAAACCGAGTTGAATGCTTAACCAACTGAGCCACCGGGTGCCCCAAATTTAAGTTTTTAAGTGTGCAATGCCATTATGTTTGGATTTTTTAAGTAATCTTTATGCCCAACATGGGGCTTAAACCCCAAGATCAAGAGCCACATATTACACTGACTGAGCCAGCCCGGCTCCCTGTAATGTTTGGATTTTTTTTAAAAATGTTTTTATTTATTTTTGCGACAGAGAGAGACAGAGCATGGATGGGGGAGAGACAGAGAGAGGGAGACACAGAATCCGAAACAGGCTCCAGGCTCTGAGCTGTCAGCACAGAGCCCGATGCGGGGCTCGAACCCACGAACCGTGAGATCATGACCTGAGCCCAAGTCGGACACTTAACCAACTGAACCACCCAGGTGCCCCTAGATTTTTTTGGCATTCACTTTAGGGACAATAAAATGTTTCAAGATCATGCCCCATTGTATGTGTGTGTGAGTGTTTGTATGTGCTTAACCACTATTTTTGGACATTGTTTTCAGTTTTCCACATTGCAAATGGTTGTCCTTCAATATAGCCCTACACCTTTATCATACAAAAAATTTTCAGTTTTTAAAAAAAAAATTAATGTTTTTAAATTTATTTTTGAGAGAGACCGACAGAGTGCAAGTGGGGGAGGGGCAGAGAGCGAGGGAGACACAAAATCCAAAGCAGGCTCCGGGCTCTGAGCTGTCAGCACAGAGGCCAACGCGAGGCTTGAACTCACAAACTGTGAGATCATGACCTGAGTCGAAGTCGGATGCTCAACCAACTGAGCCACCCAGGTGCCCCCCAAAATTTTCAATTATTAAGTTCTATCCTCATTTTTTTTCGAGAGAGAGAAAGAGAGGGAGAGAGAGCATGTGCAAGTGGCAGAGAGGGGCAGAGGGAGCAGGAGAGGCAATCTTAACAGGCTCCACACTCTGTGTGGAGCCCAACGTGGGGCTCGATCCCATGACCTGGGATCATGACCTAAGCTGAAATCAAGAGTTGGACACTCAACCGAGTCACCCAGGTGCCCCTCTGTCCCTGTTTTTAATTCCCAAGAGCTCTTGCTTTTTTCTTTATTGATCCTTTATAACACACTATTCTTATGTCTCTTACGTAATTTGTTCCCCTATATGTCTGAAAATACCAGTATGAACTATCAATACCAATATATTTTTTCTGTTTCCTGTTCCCTGCCCTGGCTCTGTGTCTTCTAAAGTCCTTTGAGTTTGCAGATCATGGCAGGCGGAGATGCTCCTTAAAAGTTTGTCTTCCTTCATATTTCAGAGAGAGGGGCTCGGGGGCTGTTGGATAGGGCTTGGGGACCGGTAGGACTCCCAGGACAGGAGGTGAAATGGTGAGCCATTCCTATCATTGTGGGACCCCCAAATGCCCGTCGAGGGACAAGGAAAGACTTTTCATTGGCCATCTGTCCTACAAAAGACTCTCTCAGACTCTAGGCAGAGTTGAAAGCATGATCGGACAGAGTGGGGACCGCCTTTTAAGGTTAGTGATCACGATTTGAAAGGCAGCCAGTCAACCTTAATCCGGTCAACCTTGGATTTGCTCCAAGATGTGTGCCCCTTTGATTTCACGTGCCCTGGTGCTGGTTTGGTGGGGGTAAGTTTATACAGGACCAGGCACGTGGAATTAGAAGGGAGGGAGGATTCACAGGTATTTCTAGAGGGAGCACAAATCAGACAAGAAGAGGGGCAAGTCAGGGAAGCCAGGGCACCTGACCAAGAATGAGATGGGCTGTGTGGTGAGAGAATGGGTATCTGAAGGGGCTCACAGGTGGCAGTGATGACAGGACAGGACCATGGAAGCAGGAAACTGCTCGCAGAGGTGAGATTGGGGCATCTCATCCCAAGGCACGTGACGAGGGCATGAGCTGGGAACCTTCAGTCTCGGGCAGGTCCCTGATGTGCATGTGAAAACTTGCAGGAGGTGACGTGAAGAGACAGAACGAGAGGCACAAGTAGATCCTCGGCGACGGTAGGAAGATGACAAGAAGGTCAGGAGGGGCGGCAGCAGGTGAGAGAGAACGGGTTCCTTTGTCTGTCATGAACTTGACAGAGGGCTTCCCCACGAAGACACTTCCCAGAAGCAATAGGGAACAAGAACATTCTGAGATCAGACAAGCTTTTCAGAAACCAACGTTTGTGTCTTTCAAAACGCTCCGGAAGCTTTAAAAAGGCCCAAGGGTCTAAAGATAGCCAGGTTTCGGGCAAGTTTACAGGCCAGCGCTGACCGTGGGTTTCCCTGTCGCTAAGTCTAAATTTCAACCTGTTCCATCCTGTACTTCCACGATTCTTCTACGCGGGGAGCGCCGATTTCCGCCGACTGGCAACGTGCTCCAAAGGCAAGCGCTCCGAGAATGACGACATAAACCATGGCGGTGGCAACCACCATCACTGCCAAGAAGAACCTTCTAGGATCCAAGGAGACAGCTGCCGTGGCAATTCCAAAAACCAAAGCCATTAATCCGGTGAAGAATAAAAATGAAGTGTCAGCAGAATCTACCCGAACACAACTTTGTGGATGAATGTGGATATTGTCTGCAACCAAGCATGCTGACAATAAGCCCGAGGTGCTGAGATCACGATGAATCTTAGCTGCCGGGATCAGGGAAGAACGAAATCAAGGTCAGATACATCGACAGGTGTCCTAGGAAACCGTTTTCCCTGTATGGGGTGACATCGCTTTTAGATGACGCTTCAAATTCTGTGAATTACAAGTTACCCAAGAACCATGGTACGGTTCAAAGGGCCAGCGGTCAGGACAGCCTGGAGACGGACTTCCGTGGAGTCAGGGTTTGCTGGAAAATCAGGGGGTCTTAGTACGTATTCTTGATTTGCTTTGGACATTTCTTTCAACCACCTTCGTGGAACGGTCACAAACTTCTGGATTCTATAGAGAGCCCACTACCGAATTGGGTGCCCCAGGTAGGAAGCCCTGAGCTTTGCTAAAAAACACGTCGAGACTCGGAACATACGTTGCATTTTATGGGAATAGCAATCCTGTCTGGTGGCGTATTTAAGATTGTGGTACTAAACCGGACACCCGTGGAACGGAGCACAAAACAGGAGTTGTGTTATCGAACGGAGACGCTGAGAGATCACAGAATAGGTGCTTAAAGCCATATGTGTCTCAGACGAGGCAGAACGGGGAACTCTGAACTCAGTACAGGGGTCCGTTCTCCCCTCCTCTGCCGGTGGGGAGACCCGGGTGCCGCGTTTGACGTGCAGGAGGGAAGAAAGCTTGTAGAAGTTTCCCACTGATGCTCTTGTCCTGGCCTGAGTGAACTGAAGGGGTTTCTCGAGTTCCCCAGACTTCAAAGGGCCACTGGTGAGGGGCAGAGTTAAGGCCAGAGCCACGGGGAAACCCCGCTGTGGTTGGCATTTCAGCAGATAGACGGGCTGCCCGCTGCCTGAGGACCGTGAAGGACCCAAGTGAAGACAGACGTCGTGTCTCATCCCTGTGGTTAACAGCGACGATCTCAACTCAGTCAAGGGGCTGATTCAATCAACTCAATCGACTCGTCCTCTTTCTCATTATTCATCTTCCTTTTTCCAGGCACATAAGCCAGCAGCAAATCCTGGTGCTGGGCACGATCTGTGACATTTGAAGACATTTTTAAGAGGCACGTCACAGTTAGGGGTCTTCTGTTTTGATAACTACCTTACTCATTTTATTTTTTTCTAATGTTAATTTTTTTTTTTTTTTTGACAGAGAGACAGAGGGCAAGTAGGGGAGGAGCGGAGAGAGAAGGAGACAGACTCTGAAGCAGGCTCCAGGCTCCGAGCCGTCAGTGCAGAGCCCGACGCGGGGCTCGAACCCACGAACCGTGAGATCATGAGCTGAGCTGAAATCAGACACTTAACCGACGGAGCCACCCCGGCGCCCCCACCATATTCATTCTAATCCATAGGGAATTTTTGTACATTGCTCACATGGGAGTCTATGTTTTCCCTCATACCAGTCGGTGCTGATATTAAGGGAATATGAAGAAACTGAAGTGAGTGACTTTTTTTTTTTTAATTTTTTTTTCAACGTTTATTTATTTTTGGGACAGAGAGAGACAGAGCATGAACGGCGGAGGGGCAGAGAGAGAGGGAGACACAGAATCGGAAACAGGCTCCAGGCTCCGAGCCATCAGCCCAGAGCCCGACGCGGGGCTCGAACTCCCGGACCGCGAGATCATGACCTGGCTGAAGTCGGACGCTTAACCGACTGCGCCACCCAGGCGCCCCAAGTGAGTGACTTTTTAAGAATGGGAGTCACCAAAACAAGTACTTTTGCAAGCAGATGTCTCTTACTCTTCTTAACAAAAAATGGGAAAATTAATGGATTGCCAGCTCAGTGAGAAAAACTTGATAAAGGAACACCTAGGTAGCCCATTCGGTTAAGCGTCTGACTCCCAGTCTCGACTCAGGTCATGATCTCACAGTTCGTGAGTTCCAGCCCCACATCCGGCTCCACTCCGACAGTGCGGGAGCCTGCTTGGGGTCCTCTCCCCCCCCCCCCCTTTCTGCCCCTCCCCTGCTCACTCAGGTTGTCCCCCTCTCTCTCCAAATAAGTAAATACATTTAAAAAACAAACAAACATGAAGAAAAGGATAACTTGATAAAAGATTACGTGATTTTTGCGCGTCGCCCTGAAGAAATTCACAGAACTCAGTGACAGCATGAGCGAGGCTCTGTTCCCGTACTTTTAGGAGTGTGGACAGACGTTTTCCGTTCCTACGAGAAACATCCCTGACCTCACCTGGTAGCCACAACAAAAAAATCTTCACGACTTCCAAACACACGGCGACCCATGTTTTTCAAAAACACAGTTTCCTGTACCTGATGAAGTGAATCTCCTTGACAACCAACAGCCAACTCGCTTCCAGGGAAACACCAAATGCGGCTCTTGGAGTGTCTCTTGTAGGAGGTAGGATCTGGATTGGGTAATTGCGGTAATGTGGGTTCTCACGGAAGTCACTTCACCCATCAGCTTAGCCTCCTCGCCATTCAGCCCATCAGAGAAGATGCCGAGGAGCTGGGAAAACTCCTTCCAGGAGAGGCTGTTGGGACACTGTCCTGCTGTAGTGATGGATCTGGGAGAAAAAAAATCAGGAAATCATCGTTTGTCTCCCCCTGGCTGTGGATGGAGGTAACTTCATGTGGTTGCTCCTGATGAGGGTTTGGTGGAGATGAGGGAGGCCTCCTTCTAGGCCCACGGTATACCCGTGTTTCCCATCGTCCCTCAGCTCCAGATTTCCCACGTCCCTTGTTGAAAGCACAGTTCACCTGGTGCTTCACGGGGATCCAGGAAAGTAGACTTTCCCCAGCACCCGGGGCTTACGATCTGCAAAAGCTGGGGAATACTGCTTGGAACCGTCCACTCTCTGCTTCTTTATTCACAGCTTCACGGAGGTAATAATGAAGGAAAAAACTGCACACAGTTAAAGTATCCAATCGAGGGGCACCTGGGGGGGTCAGTCAGTTGAGCCTCTGACTCTTGACCTCACATCAGGTCTTGACTTCAAGGTCCTGAGTTCAAGCCCCGCACTGGCCTTCATGTGAAAGCATTAGCACACGAAAAACACATCCGTTGTTCCCAGAAGTTTCCTTGTGCCTCCTGGTAACTCACACCTCTCTCTCTCCCCTTGGCCCAGGCAACCACTAATCTGTTTCTTGCAGATTAATAAAGAAGTGAATTTTTTCTTACTTTTATTTAAATCTCTGTTAGTTAAGGGGCGCCCGGGGGGCTCAGTCGGTTGAGCGTCCGACTTCAGCTCAGGTCATGATCTCGCGGTCCGGGAGTTTGAGCCCCGCGTCAGGCTCTGGGCTGATGGCTCGGAGCCTGGAGCCTGTTTCTGATTCTGTGTCTCCCTCTCTCTCTGCCCCTCCCCCGTTCATGCTCCGTCTCTCTCTGTCCCCAAAATAAATAAACGTTGAAAAAAAAAATTAAAAAAATAAATAAATAAATCTCTGTTAGTTAAGGGGCGCCCGGGTGGCTCAGTCGGTTGAGCGTCCGACTTGGGCTCAGGTCATGATCTCACAGTTCGTGGGTTCGAGCCCCGCGCAGGGCTCTGTGCTGACGGCTCGGAGCCCGAAGCCTGCTTGGGAGTCTGTGTCTCCCTCTCTCTCTGCCCCTCCCCCACTCATGCTGTGTCTCTCTCTTTCTCGAAAATAAACACTTAAAAAGAAAAGAAAGGAAATCTCATGAACAAAAGCTTGAAAATATAACTGGCGAAAAAGAAGGGACATGGAACACTCTAGACACAGGGGATAAAGACAGAAAGGACACGATGTTCTGTTTAGAATCTTACAGATTTCAGTCACTTCAAAAACACGTATCACTACTTCAGGGATGGAGAAGCCAAGGCAAAGAATTTGCAGCTGTTATTAAAATAATACCAACGAAGTGCCAACGGGACAGATTGGCAGGAGAACTTCTAGGTACCCACATGCCAGCTTCAAGTTCATTATCACCGGAGGGTGCAGGAAGTCTCTCATTTGAGGAAGGCATTTCCTTTTCCTGTAATCTTCAACTTGACACAGATAAAGCCATTTTGTTTTGTTTAAAAAACAAAGTAGATCCTGACGTGAGCCGAAGTCAGACGCTTCACCGACAGAACCACCCAGGTTCCCTATCTGCTTGCTTTTTCATTTCTAAGCATTCTTGATCCTTTTGCTGACGGTACCCTATTCTGACTTCATTTGTACGATTTCTGTACACGTGGACAACGTCAGTTACCGGGAGCAAGACGTTTTTTCCCGCCGACTGCTCCCTGTTCCGTCTTCAGGTCCCGTCCATTGCTTTGAGTCTGGGGTCGTAACAGAGGCGCTGCTAAGGGGTCTAGTTTCAGGGCTCTCCATTCATCTGAAGAAGCGAAGGGAGATGTTTGGGGGGCTGTTGGCTGGGGCTTGTGGACTGTTTCAGGGGGAGCAGCCGGCATGCTAAGTCCCCACGTTCATTGCGGTCATGGGAAGTGCTTAATTTTGGTAGTTTAAAGGACACCTTCCCACACATTTCATGAAACTATCTCATGACATCCAGACGCTGCTTCTGAAAATCAAGTTCTGTGTCAGGTAGACTTGACCTGACATCTTCCTGAAGCACGACCACTACTTGATGGTGCATTTAGATTCCTACGTGTTAGATACAAGCGATCACATTCAAGATGAAAGGCTAATTTAAGAGGAAGGACTGGGGGCCCCTCAGCGGCTCAGTCGGTTGAGCATCCAACTCCTGATTTCAGCTCAGGTCATGGTCCTGGGATCGTGGGGTCGAGCCCCGAGCTGGGCTCTACACTGACCTTGGAGCCTGCTTGGATTCTCTCTCTTTCTCTTTCTCTGCCCCTCTCCTCTGCTCATGCTCTCAAAATAGAATAGAATAGAATAAAATAGAATAAAATAAAATAAAACATTAAAATAAAATAAAATAAAATATTAAAATAAAAATATTAAAATAAAATAAAATATTAAAATAAAATATTAAAATAAAATAAAATATTAAAATAAAATAAAATATTAAAATAAAATATTAAAATAAAATATTAAATTAAAATAAAATATTAAAATAAAATAAAAATTAAATTAAATAAAAAATTAAAATTAAATAAGAAATTAAAATAAAATAAGCAATTAAAATAAAATAAGAAATTAAAATAAAATAAAAAATAAAATAAAATAAAATAAAATAAAATAAGATAAGAGGAAGGAACCTTTGGACAATTCCCCAAAAGGGAAATTGTATTTTCCATACTAATTGTCAGTAGGGAACCCAGGGCCAAATTTAACAAGCACGAAGTTGAGCGGGGACGAGGGTTCCCAAATGTTTCCCGCTGTTGGTATTGCCCTGGCCTTAGGCACACTACTGAGCAAACTAGAAAGCATCACTTGTGAATCGCAGAATTAAATGGCCACCAAACTAACCCAAGTCTTGATGGGTATTTTAACAGATAAATGTGTCACTTGGCATCTTCCAAACACACCAGGACCCACGTGCAGAATAATGCCATCTCATCAGTGGGGTTATCGGCCAACTCGCCCATCGATGGTTTTTCTTAGCATACGGAGACAAAAGCCATTTCCTGAATGAGAGCATCTTGATACAAAATTACCACTCATGATCTTGGGCCAACACAAATGGCCAAATCCTGGGTTTTCCAGAATCTGCCCATTGCCTGAAGTATGGGTCTATGTTTTCCCCCAAATGAATAACCAAGAATCCCTAATTCATTTGGAAAATGTTGTTTGTTCTCCCTACTGTGAAAAACCACTATTGTAGTAAATTCCCCCAAAACAGACCTGTGTGACGTTACCACTCCTTTCTATTTCTTCTTCGTGTGTGTGTGTGTGTGTGTGTGTGTGTGTGTGTGTGTGTGTTTTCCCGCACCATAGAGCAGACCTTTGGAGCTTTTGGAACCTGGTTGGAAATGTTTTCTCCTCAACAGCCTTCGGGACTTTCCCCATCTAGTTCCATATGCTTCCTTTTCTAGCAGCATTGACTTCAATTTGCCAACGTCATCCTCAACACGCCTATTCAAGTTTGGGGTTTTATCAGATTTGAAATAGAGCACCTAGGGAAGAGTTACATCTTCTGAGTCCAAAGGGACCTTGGGAAGAGGGAGCTTGTCCTCTTGCAGAGGGTCGACTCTGTCCTTCGGCACATGGCCAAACTTTTTTTGTTTTTCTGCAAGAGACTTCTCGATCGCGCTCGATTTATTTGTATGTATTTTCTCCATCTACTTGCGGTTGTAAATGGGAGTTTTGTTTTGTTTTGTTTTTTATCAGTTCCAGTTATAATTGGTCTTTACTCCCAGGAAGGAAAGCTACCTGACCTTACCTTATGTCTAACCGTATTTATTTGCTTCCTCCTTTCTTGTTCTGGTACATCCCCTATCACTGTGGTCTTCAGAATGGGCCACACAGTCCCTGGGGAGGATCCAGGCACTTTCCAGGTACCACACAGGCGTGACAGCTTTAAGGGAATAATTTCCAGGTCCTCCCTTCTGTATGTGTTCGAGCTTTGTTTTTGTTTTCCGTTTAGTTTTAGTAATGCCTACACCCAACACAGGGCTTGAACTCACGACCCCGAGATCCAGAGTCACACGCTCTTCCGACTGAGCCAGCCAGCAGCAATACCCAACAACCTGCAAGGTGTCCCCTTTTGAAATTGCCCTTCTCCTATTTAAGGGAAGAAAAGCAGTGGACAGAGGCTTTGTTTTCATTTGTTTTTGTTAAACCTCCAGGACAGGAAACCTCGGAAAAGTTCAAAATATATGCTATCTGTGCTAAGAAAATGAATGATTAGTGACTGGCAGTATTGTTCAAGTGACCGGGCGTTTGCCCGTTTTTGCTTTCAACCCTTCTTCGCCCTCAAATGGAAGGAGAAATAGACCCTCCAGCTTGGAAAAAATAATTCAGTGGCACGTCACTGTAATGGATGTGCGTGTCTAAGCCACGTTGCTAGAAGCCTCATTCCATTTCTATCCGGCGGTGTGAGGTTTTCTGCACTTAAATCTGTGATAAAGAAACACAGGAGGCGGAACCGTGTCTCCTTGTAACCAGAAGGAAGAGCCATTCATGGAAATGTGCACAAAGGGAAAGAAAGACCCAGCTCACTGAGAGAGGCGCTGCTCGTAACAACAGATCATGAAAAATAAAATCTTATGAAAATATGTAGTATACGGGTGCCTGGATGGCTCAGTCGGTTGAGGGTCCGACTTTGGCTCAGGTCATGACCTCACCTCTGTGGGTTCGAGCCCCGCGTCAGGCTCTGTGCTGAGCACTCAGAGCCCGGAGCCTGCTTCCAATTCTGTGTTTCCTTCTCTCCCTGACCCTCCCCCACTCACACACTCTCTCTCTCTCTCTCAAAAATAAAATAAACATTAAAAAGTGTTATATTTAGGAGCGTCTGGGTGGCTCCATCAGTTAAGCGTCCGACTTTGGCTCAGGTCACGATCTCATGGTCTGTGAGTTCAAGCCCCGTGTCAGGCTCTGTGCTGACAGCTCGGAGCCTGGAGCCTGCTTCGGCAGCTCAACCAAAAACAATATTGTAAAAAGCATTTTTAAGGCACTTCCAAGCACACAAAACAAAAGCAAGCTACCAATTTTATACAAGAAATGGTAAGTTTCTCTCACCTGGTCCGAGAGGCAGCTTTTTAGTCAAAAATTATATATATCCCGGAAATAATTTCCTGCGAACGGTCCGATAACACTCAAGATGAAATGATTTTAGATGAAAGGCGAGTAAAGCCGTCTCAGCGTTTCTTCTGTATGAATTAGGCTCTTGATTGGATTATTGAAATAACATGGATTCTCAAGAGAAGCAATTCTCATGCATCAGATCAGTTTTTTTCTTAATTAATGCAATAATATACACGCCTCGGTCCTATAGATTTGGAAGAAATGCCTAACAAGGAGAGACTGGGGCCAAATGCACATGCTAAGTAGCTTACCTGAATGTCCTAAGACACAGTTTGTAATAAAAAGAGGAAAGACAAGATATTTTCCTCAGGTTGTCTTACACTTGGCCGTCTCATTTGGTTTCACCTGCAGAGAATTTGCTACAGATGTTACTAAGTGTAGGAAACTTCTAGCTACCACTCGCGTTGTACCAGTGTTTCCCAAACCTCTCTGAGGATAGGAATCACCTGCTCTTGGGGCGCCTGGGTGGCTCAGTCGGTTAACCATCGACCGGACCCTTGATTTCAGTTCAGGTCATTGTCTGTCGGTTTGTGAATTCGAGCCTCGCATCTGGCTCTGTGCTGATAGAACAGAACCTGCTTGGGATTCTCTCTCTCTCCCTCTCTCTCTGCCCCATGCTTGCGCGCTCTCTCTCTCTCAAAATAAACAAAAAAAAAAAAAAAAAAAGGAATCACCTGCCCTCTTGTGAAACATATAGATTCTGCAGGCTGCCATGTGTTATCTAATCAAGTAGGTCTGCAGTGGGACCCGGAGTGTATATTTTTTATTTTTACTTATTTTTTTAGGAATGTATAATTTGGAAAATATAGATTGGAAAAAAAAAACACTTATGCCCAGGAAAAAAATATTGTCAAAAACATACCAGATATTAAAATATTAACTGTGTTCATCTTTGGAAGATAGATCTATGGATATTACTTACGGATTCTCAGGCTGAAGAGGACAGAGCACATTAAAAAGATTTCGTGGCAGTAGTCCCACTTCAGAGATGGAAAAAACAAGCACAGAAGCTTATTTGCAGACGTTTCAAAACAATACCTTGGGGCGCCTGGGTGGCTCGGTCGGTTAAGCGTCTGAGTCAGTTTCGGCTCAGGTCGTGATCTCACAGTTCGTGAGTTAGAGCCCCACATCGGGCTCTGTGCTGACAGTGTGGAGCCTGCTTAGGATTTCTCTCTCCCTCCCTCTCTGCCCCTCCCCTACTTGCTCTCTATCTCTCTCTCAAAATAAATAAGAAACTTAAAATAAAATAAAATAAAATAATATAAAGAACCCTTAAAATGCACCAAGAAAACAAGCCGATTAAAAAAAAATGGACCAGGGGCGCCTGCGTGGGCTCGGTGGGTTGGGCGTCCGACTTCAGCTCAGGTCACGATCTCGCGGTTTGTGGGTTCGGGCCCCGCATCGGGCTCTGTGCTGATGGCTCGGAGCCTGGAGCCTGCTTCGGATTTTGTGTGTGCGTGTCTCTCCCTCCCCCTCCCCCATTGTCTCTCTCTTTCTCTGTCTCTCAAAAATAAATAAAACGTTTAAAAAAAAAATCAGTGGCTGCCAAGTTACCCAGTGGGTAGGGGAGAGGGAGGAACAGGTAGAGAATGCGGGATTTTCACATCAGTAAAATTACTCTGTATGATAGTAAAATGGTGAGACGTATCATTATACATCTGTCCAAACCCACAGAATGCACACCACCAAGAGCGAACCCTTGGAAACTACTAGACTCTTGGTGATGATGACGTGTCCGTGGACGTTTATGGGTTATAACAAATGTATGGGGATATTGATAAGGGGGGTGGCCCATGCATGCGCGGGGCAGAGGTATATGGGAAATCTCTGTACCTCCCTCTCAGTTTGACTGTGAACCTAAAATTGGTCTTTTAAAATGAAGTCTTAGGGGCGCCTGGGTGGCTCAGTCAGTTAAGCGTCCGACTCCGGCTCAGGTCATGATCTCATGGTTCGTGAGTTCGAGCCCCACGTCAGCTCTATGCTGACAGCTCGGAACCTGGACCCTGTTTCAGATTCTGTGTCTCCCTCTCTACCCCTCCCCCGCGCATGCTCTGTCTCTCTCTCTCTCTCTCTCTCTCTCTGCCAAAAATAAATAAACATTAAAAATTTTTTAAAAAAGAAATATTTAAAAAATCTATAAAATACAATAAAATAAAATGAAGTCTGAGGAAACAACAGAACACCTGCATGTAAGACTAGCAAGAAATGACAATGACGGGAAAACCAGATGCCTTTGCTGACCATCAACCCATACTGTGCCATGTGGGGGTTACAAGTGCCCTTTGACAAGTTGAGAATCTATTTTCATTTCTTGGGATCTTTCCGTAAGGCGTGAGGATAAAGAGAGAAACTCGATCATTTTTCTTTTATTTTTTAAAATTTTCTTTTAATTTTTCTTTTAATTTTTTAAAATTACTTTTTCAAGTTTACTTACTCGTTTTTGAGAGAGAGAGGGAGCAAGTAGGGGTGGGGCAGAGAGAGAGGAAGACAGAGAATCCCAAGCAGGCTTCAAGCTGTCAGTGCTGAGCCCGATGCAGGGCTTGATCCCATCAATTATGAGATCATGACCTGAGCCAAAGCTGGACACTTGACTGAGCCACCCCTGCACCCCTTAAAATAAAAATCTTAATGAAAACAATCTGAGGTCCTTACCCAGAAATAACCATTATTAGCATTTTGTGGGTATCTTCCCATCTTTTGAGGCCCATTGGGACTTTAAGACAAAATTCGAAAGAGATCGTGTGTACCGTAACTTTCTTTGTCCCACTGATAATACATAGCGAACATCCCACCATGTTTATTGATTTAAATGTTTATTTACTCCTGTGTTTGTTGCTCCGTATCATTTGTAATGATTGCATAGTTTCTCAATGAATTGATCTGTGTTTACTAAACATTTTGTAGGCAGCAGGCACTGTTCTAACAAGCGTGGATTAAGTCTCTGTAAAAAAAATTGTAGCTGACGTTGTGTTCGCTTCAGGTGTCTAACGTAGCGATCTGACAATTCTACACGCTAAGCTGTGAGCATTAGATAACTGTGGTTCCCATCTGCCACCATACGCCATTACTACAGTGTTACTGACTCTATCGCTACACTGTACTTTTCATCCCCCTGATTTATTTTACAACTGGGAAGTTCGTATCTCTTAATCCCCCTTCGCCTAGTTTGCCCATCTCCCCGCCCCTCACGCCCCAGTTTTTCCACATCCATCTTGTTACTGTCTTTTGTGTTCTTTTTAAAGTTTATTTTGAGAGAGAGAGCAAGTGGGGGAAGAGGAGAGAGAGAGAGCAAGTGGGGGAAGAGGAGAGAGAGAGAGAGAGAGAGAGAGAGAGAGAGAATCCCAAGCAGGCTCCCAGCTGTCAGCACGGAGCCCAGCCTGTGGCTCGATCCCATGAACCGTGAGATCATGACCTGAGCCTAAATCAAGAGTTTAACCACTGAGCCACCCAGTACCCTCCACTTTGCTCATTTTAAAAACTGGATTGTCTTTTCATTGTTGACTTTTAAGAGTTTTGCTCATTTGGGTTTTTTTTTTTTTTTTTTTTGTAAGCTCTACACCCAAAATGGGGCTTGAACTCATGACCCCAACATCAGGAGTCACATGCTCTACCCACTAAGCCAGACAGGTGCCCCTTGTTAAGAGTTGTTAATACATTCTTAATACAAGTTCCCCATCAGGTAAGAGATTTTTGAATATCCCCCCATTCAGTAGGTTGTCTTTTCACTTTTTTGCGAAGCACAAAGTTTGTTTAAAAAATTTTTTTTAATGTTTATTTTTGAGAGAGAGAAAGAGTGTGAGCAGGGAAGGGGCAGAGAGAGAGGGAGACACTAAATCTGAAGCAGACTCCAGGCTCTGAGCTGTCAGCACACAGCCCGACGTGGGGCTCAAACTCACGGACCGTAAGATCATGACCCAAACCAAAGTCAGACGTCTAAACGACTGAGCCACCCAGGTGCCCCTACACAAAGTTTTCAGTATGGATGAACTCGTTTTTCTTTTTTCTTTTTTTTCCACTTGTGTTAAGGTGTCATAGCTCCAGAAACTAGTGCCTTAACCAAGGTAATGAAGATTTACACCTGTGTTCTCTTCCAGGGTCCCATTTTGAATTATTTTTTTGTGTCCGGTGTTAGATAGGGATCTTTCTTTTACATCTAGATATCCAGATGTCCTAATGCCATTAGTTGAAGACCCTTTTTCCCATGGTCTTGATAGACTTGTCAATCAGCATACAAGTAAGGGGTTATTTTCTGGACTCTCTATTCTATGCCATGGGTCTGTATGTGTAGTTCTCCTTCTAGCTCCCTCCCGTGGTTTCCATTAGCATTTCCCTCCAAACACACACATTCTAAGCTTAACACTCAGTTATCGGCAGATGGCAAGTTCCCTGGCCTCTGGACCCCCTCCTCCTCGGGGCCGAACAGAGCCCCTATTCCAAAATTCTGGCGCCATCACAAACTAGACCGGGGCTCTCTTGAAGTTCAAAGCTGTGCTGTATGCATTAGTTTCTCAAGCCCAGCCCCACACCCGGCAGGTTGTAGGAACTTGGTGGTTAAACGGCAGGTAAATGAGTGGCCAAACGAAGGAAATGAACACTGATGTAACCCGGCGGCTCAATGGCTAGTTCAGCGAAGTTTCTGACTCTGTGCCACCGTGAGGCTGAGGACCCTGAGGAAACGATTTTATGGGAAAATCTGTACAGAAAAGTTGGGTATCGAATTCACATCATCAGCTAGTTTCTTCTGAAAGGCTTAAGAGCCAGGTTTTTAGGAGACTCAAAAGAATACATATGGCCCAATTACTTCCTGGGTATTTCAAGTATAGAAAATGCCCCCAACTGAGTCAAACAGATGTTAATCCCCCTTTTTTTAAGCTTATGTATTTATTTTTAGAGAGACACAGAGACAGGTCAAGCAGGGGAGGGGCAGAGAGAGATGGAGAGAGAGACAGAGGAAGAATTCCAAGCTGATGCCCCACTGTCACCACAGAGCCCGACGGAGGACTTGAACCCGTGAAACCGTGAGGTCACGACCTGAGGCACAACCAAGCTTAACCAACTGGGCCACTCAGGCGCCCCCGGATGTTGATCCTTTTAAGACAGCACTGGACTAAGACGTCGAG